GTGATCGAATGTTTAAAAGTGCTAACTTAACAGTTTTAGCCGTTTTCACTACAGAAGTCTCAGATATACATTTAATAGACACCAGATTTGAATGATTTGCTATACGGTCTGAAAGAGTCTTTGGTTTTCTGTCACGTAATAAGACACATATCTGTGTAGAGAAAGCTACAGACACACTGGGTTTCTGCTTGTTCTGTAAACATCTGATAAAGACACTGTTATCTAAGCAGGCATCCGAGACACATCAATGGCAGTTTTTAAGTTCACCAGCTAAAGATGAGGTGTTTTTTGGGACCTGGCGCTGTCGCAAAGACCTGAGGCCTCTCCTAGGTGTAGGGCGAGGTGGGCTTAGAGAGGCTTGCTGATTTTTGGTTGCTAACTGGGGGCTAGCAGCAATGGAGTGTGAGAGTTTAGTTCCAGCACACACCAGTTCCTCCATCTTTTTTGAAAAATAAGAGAGGCGAGCAAGGTGACAATGAGAATGTGTCCGGTGACAGAGGCTGTGGGTCTGGGGTTTCTGGCTGCTGAGATATATTTACCTGGCTGTTTTCCTGGGGATCATCCATGAGTGCTGAGACTGCTGAGACTTGATGCTGTTCTGATGTATCACAGTCTGCCTGTGTTGAGCTCATTATTTACTTCATTAATAAATTATGGGTCAATGCAGAGATTGCCCAAGCTTAATATACAGAATTTTTATTATTTTTCCACTGCACCATTTATATTCTATACTGTACATTATTTCTGTTAAGTCAGGTCTTACTGTCCTAACTAAATAAATAAAAATCAAGGAATGATCATATTATATTTTAGTAAAACAAACGTAATCTAGAGACCTTTGCCTTTCATATAAGCCACTTCTGATACCAAATGATCAACTAGAAGTCAAGTTATTATTTGTTGTTCCAAAAACTTGGATAGGCGACAGGACTTTTGTCAGGTAGTGTACATGTAGCCTAAAATTGAAGTAAAATGCTCCCCATGTTTATATTTTAATAGACTACTGTGCTCTACCATGGTAATATAATAAATGCAATACTTGTTGGTACATATTTATGTACAATACAGTTTGTAAAGTAATATTTTCTGTCTTTTAGTAGATATATTATATAAGAGACCTGCTTTGTTTACCAAATAAAGTGAATCTAATTAGATTTGCAATTTAAACATTAAATAAAAGTCAAAAAGGTATTACTTTTTATTTCACTAATTAAGGTTTTAGTTATGATACTCCCAAAATAATTCTGCAGAAATCCACAGATTTTTACCAAAATTCTCAGCAGAAATAGCAAAAAACGTCCTCAGATTCCATCTGGCCCTGCTAATGGCTTAGACTCTATTTCAGAAGTCGCCACAAGCGGAATGAACCACCAACTATTCCAGCATACAGTATGTTTTATGCAGTGGATGCCCTTCCAGCCGCAACCCTATTGGAAAAACTCACACACACACACACACTACGGTCAATTTAGTTTATTCAATTCCCCTAAAGTGCATGTCTTTGGACTTTGGGGGAAACCGGAGCACCCTGAGGAAACCCACACCAACATCGGGAGGATATGCAAACTCCACATAGTTTCAGCCGGTCAACTGGTCCAGCCAGGATTTGAACCAGCAACCTTTTTGCTGTGATCCAACAGTAGCACTGAGCCATCGTGCTGCCCCTAATATAAATACAATGGATTAAATATAGTATATGAATTTGGTTTACAAAAGTATGTATATTACACAAAATAACATTACTGAAAAAAAGTTTATCTGCATATTTATACCACAGCACCGTTAGTGCTCTGCTAATGATAAAGCAACACAGCAAAGCCAAGAGCAAAGGAGCAACTAAAGCAAGTATGATTCAGATGGACAGTTGAACACTTAAGCGCTCTGTCCTTCAGCCTCCGACTTTATTCTACAGTCAAGAGAGAGAGAGCTGGAAAAATGAGATGGAATCTAAACACCTTGCTAAATCACAGGTTTATGAATAATAGATGGCGAGGCTGATGGCCGGAGAGCAGGAAAGAGAGAAAGGAGAGAGACAGAGAGAGTGACAGATGCCATTCAGTCAGGCTGAAGGATGGATGCAGATGTGGATGGATGAGCAGAGCAGATGAAGGGTGGCGGAGGGCAGGAATCAGGCATGGCCAGAAATACTTGCAGCTTTTGTTTTCAGGGGGAAATCTCAGAAAAGCAGCATGCTTGATGGTTTTAATGGTGGTTTAATGCCAGGATGTAATGTGCAGTTATGTAAGTTCACTCGAAAACGCAAAGGGCTTTTCTTTCTAATAATGGACATAAATGTTGACTGATTCTTTCCTTTTTTCCTTGACTTTCTCCCTTTTTGTTTTGTTTTATGTTTGTTCTTTGACTGTTTTTTTTTTTTCCATAGCCTGGCTGTTCATCGATGATGCGCTGTTCAGTAAGAAGTGCTCTCACTCGGTACAGTGGAGATTTCTTTAGTTTTATCATTTTAGTTGTTTGGGATGCGGTAACACGCAGTCAAATATTTCACCTGAACAGGTCAGCCACTTTTGATGCTTATAAACAACCATAAAGTCCTTGTGCTGCAGGTATTAGGAAGTTTGCTGAAGGTGCAGCTGTGGTGCAGTGAGGGGTTTGCGTCTTTAATAATCTATGACAGTTTGCATTCATTGAACAGTAAAAATTTTTAAAAAACATATAGGAAACAATCCCTTAAAAGTCACGTTTTGTCTTCAGTTTCGGGCTCAGACACACTTTACACTCACACTACAAGCGTACCGCACCTGAGCCTAGGTAAACTGCACTCTGGCATACCTCTTCCAACCGGGCCAGGGCCGGCCAGCTGTGCCTGAGCCGATTCAGATCCCTCACATTTCTCAAACGATCTGGGAAACGGGCCTGGGTACGGTTCGGATAGCATAGTGTGAGTACGCCCTTAAAGGTGCAATATGTAAGTTTGACACCGAGTGGTTAAACTAGGTATTGCACAGCTGGTTTAAAACACATGCAAGTGCAAGTTGCCAGATTGACAACACTGACAGGAGTGAGTCTGACTATTGAGCTTAAAGGCTGATTTAAGGCTGACTGAAGTTGTACTCTTAAAAAAAAAAAAAAAAAAAAAGCAGTGGTACACGATAGAGGGAATATTTCCCATATTAAAAGGAGTTTTTGTTCTAACCAACACATGAAATTAATATTTTAGTAACAGCTTCTATTGCAGCTGAACAACAGGATAAATTTGACCAGGTTTCCCTCAGGTACACCTCATGCGCTTTTTTCAGTGTTTAGCATAAAAATGTGTATTTGAATGCTATTTTACATGACATTTATTATTATACTTCTAAAATCAGCAGCAGATTAACTTCAGATCTTGAAAATAATATAAACTGTTTTGAAATTGAACTTTAGAACTATGACTATGACAATTATCAGTGATTCAGCATGTACATTTAATAATGTTAAGGAGGTTTAATATGTGAATAAAATGTCAATATATTCAGAGGAGCTGAAATAAAATTGGCTAAACTGGCATTGGGTGATTTAAATGAATAAAACAAAGACACTCTAGCACATAACAAACGTTTTCAAAAGCAGAATATCTGACTTTAGCATTGTTTTCAGATAAACAAGAATGTTCACTCAGCATGTTTCTTAAATATCTGCACACATATTGTGCCATTTTTATGCTTCAGAAAAGTCAAAAACTTTCGTACATCACCTTTCTTGTTTCTTTCACTTTTCTGCTTATTTGGGGTTTTATTTTTAATTTCCTCATTTCTTTATACTTTACTTTTTTATTTTGGGTTTTTCTTTAAACTTTCTTTCTCTCCCTTTTGTTTTCCGTCCTTCACTCAAAAAAAAAAAAAAAAAAACTTTTGCTGCTTGTTTAAACTACTTATACAAAATGAGTTGAAACGACACAATCTTTAGGGTTTTGTGGGGACAACATAAAGGTATTGTGCTGAACCCAACATTTTTTACCATGTTTTTAATTAAATTGTTTTCTTTCTTTTTCTATTTTATGTTTCCTTTTTTTCTACTTTTACTTTTTTTGTGTTTTTTTCTGCATTTTCTTTTTTTTAATGACTTAACATTTTTCATTTACTTTTCATTGACTGAATAATTATACTTATGTACATATTTACTTTTTTCTTTTCCCCTTCCTCTTTTTTCTTAACCTTCATTTCTACCCTTTCTTTGTTTTTATTAATCTGTTTTGTATCCCTTATTTCTTTTTCTTGTTTCTTGCCATTTTTATTTTCCCTTATCTATTTATTTCATTATTCCTTTTGTTAAAATTTCCTCTTATTTTTAATTCTTCTTTAAAATGTCATTTTTTCTCTTTTATTTGATTATTATTACTATTTACTCCGGGTGCTCCTCAGTTCAGAGACATCTGCTATAGGTGAATTGAATAAAATAAATTAGTCATAGTTTATGTTTGTGCATGTGAGAGTGTATGGGTTTTGTCCCAGTGCTTGCAACCGTAAAGGGATCTGCGTAAAACATATGCTAAAATAGTTGGTGGTTCATTCTGCTGGGGTAACCCCTGATAAACATGGGATTAAGCTGAAGAAAAATGATTAAATGAATATTCATTCTCAAATAACTCAAAAGGTTAAATATTGTCTGTATTTTCCTTCACTTTTTTTTCTTATTTTCCATTCTATTTTTAAATTTTTTTTTTCAATTATTCCTTTTGTTTACATTTCCTTTTGTTATTTTCTTGGTTCTTATTTAAAATTTTCTTTTTTGTTTATTTTAGTGTATATTTTTTTCTATTTTCTTTTTTACTAATTCCCATTACATTCCTAAATGTCCCTGTTTCAAATGTTTAAATATTCTCAAAATGTTCTCTTTTTTAGATATTTATTTCTATATATACTTCTTTATTTCTATATATTTTCATGGTTTTGTCATTCATTCCAATATTTCTCCTGTATTTATTTCTAATTAATGTTTACAAAAATCTGTTATGTTATTTTCCGCTATCTCTCTTTTTTTTTTTGGTCCACTCTCTCCAGCTTCTAAGAGATTTTCCGGATGAGTTGCGTTCGGACATTGCAATGCACCTGAATAAAGAGATCCTAGAGCTGTCGGTCTTCTCGTCTCTGAGTCGTGGGTGTCTCCGCTCTCTCTCTCTGCACATAAAGACTTCCTTCTGCGCACCGGGCGAGTACCTTCTGCGTCAGGGAGATGCTCTACAGGCCCTTTTCTTCGTCTGCTCTGGCTCTATGGAGGTGCTCAAGGACAACATGGTGCTTGCCATTCTCGGTCAGTAATCACACATTCAGCAAAATGTATTGAAGTCAACTTTTGAAGTGATACAAAACCTTTAACTTCTCATTAGCTAAAGACTGCAGTGCCCATGTGTTTATGAAGTAGCCAACAAAACTGCGCTCTGTGATTGATCAGTCATTATGTTTACATTGACAACAGGAGTCTAATTATTTACATAATTCGGAATAATATAATAAATGATTAAGGTACACTGAAAAACACAAACATGCTGGGTTTCACATAATTGTTTTGTGTTGGGACAACATGAAGGAACTAAGTTAGTTTATTGGTTATTACAAATTTAGGAGCATTAAACATAAATCAGTCAAGTTGTCCTCTAAAAAAAAAACTCAATAATTGTGTTTCAGTTCATTTTAAATAAGTAGTTTGACAGTAAACATCACTTTTTTCAGTGTGTTTCCTGAGCTGCTTTTAGAATATTCCTTTCATGTTCTGTTTTACATTATAGTACTTTCAACACCTTGGCCAAAGTCCCTTTAAGGAAAGTCATGTCACTTGGTGGCAATCTTTGAAATGCCTCTCATGCAGTATGGGCGGGCATTCTGTCTGAATGGGAAAACATCAAATTCTTTAAAACTGTTTGCCAAGCTTACAGTTACATATTTAGAATTACCAATAAAATTAAACAACCACTGTCATACGTTTCATTTCTAAATGTTCAAATCAAACAAAATCTGCATTTTGTTCAGGTTGCCCGAGCTAATGAGCATGTGTACTCGAAAACAACAAGATCACGACACCAACCTGATTTATAGACGTGTTACACATTATCATTCTCTGAATAATACTTTATAAGATTGTGCTGGTCTTCCTAAGTAATTCACAATGCGGTCTTGTTGGCAAGTCTCCAGAAATGGCAGCAACTCTTTGTTTACAAGTTTGTGCAGCCTGATCTCACGAGAAAACGTAAGTATTTTACGTTTTGCCAGTTTAGTGACTAATTCATACAAATTCGTACGATTTCAGTCATACGAAATGATACGATTTTAAAAAGGAGGCGTGGCACCTAACCCCACCCCTAACCACCAACCGTCATTGGGGGAAAAGCAAATCGTACTAAATTGTACGAATTAGATCGTACAAATTCATACGAATTAGCCACTAAATGAAAAAGTTACGAATCGCCGTGAGATTGTGTTGGTTTGTGGCATGTGAGTAGCTGCTGCTGTCATTTGATGTGCATTTGACAGGACGCTTTTTTTTTTTTTTTTTACAACAAAAACGTTTGTAAAAGCAGACGTCTGGTCTGAGCTTCTCCCTGGGAGAAACGTCAGTCCATAGCGATCAATGATTGGCTACTGTGCTAGTAGGTCGGGCTTCATTCGGCATACACTTTTCCCCATTCAAAACTATTTGAGTGACACATCTTGTGATTGTGAAATGCTCATCGCAATGACAACTGTCACTAATCCCTTCGTCTCTTTTTCAAAACTCTCATAAAAACACTTTTTTTTAGTAAAACAACACAATTATTGACTTTTTGGGTGGACAACTTAATTGTTTTATGTTGTTTTATGTTCAATCCACTTAAGTCTGTACTTCATAAAGTAAACTAATACATTAATATTTCTATGTTCTCCCAATTCAAATCGCTTGTGTGGAACCCAGCATTTTGTTTTTTTGTTTTTTTTACAGTATAATGCTTATCAGCACTTAGTCTGTGAAATTCAACTTCTCCTAAAGTACCAACTGAGTTGTTTGTTGTCATGTTTTTTTTTCTGTTGTTCTCAGGCAAACACATCTATCCATTTCCTTTTATCAGAATAATTATGAAATGATATTCACAGGTAGATTTTTTCCAATTTCACAAAGAATGCAATAACATTAAACTACATTCTGTCAGTTTACTAAAATGCATGTGTGTCTGTCATATGTGACAGGGAAATGTCATTACAGAGGATTTGCATTCATTTAAGACAAAGCAAATGTTTTACAGTAGGATTTGCGTTAGGATATGAGGATATATACCACAAATTGAGATCATTTCTTGGATTTAAGAATAAGAATGAGCTTCAATACTATGGAGTAAAGTAAACGTTCACTAATTCATTAATTTTCCTTCGGCAGTTAGTCCCTTTATCCATCAGGGTTTGCCACAGCGGAATTAACCACCAACTTTTCCAACATATGTTTTATACCTCGGATGCCCTTACAGCTGAAACCCAGCACTGGGAAACATCCATACACATCAGTGACCTTCTTACTGGGAGGCGACAGTGATAACCACTGAGCCACCGTGTCGCTTGGGCCTCATGTATCAACGCTGCTTACGCACAAAAACTTTGCGTACACCAGATTTCACGCTCACATGGAGTTACTAACGATGAAATTTATGTGAGAATGTGCATTGGTCTGCGCCAACTTCATGTCTGGCATACGTGTATTTCTTGTGTGGGTTTGTTTTATTTCAATTGGCGACTCCCAGAGGCAATTATGTTAAATTGCACACTACAAAGTATCGCACCAACACAGGTGAAAAACATTGCTATTAATTTATAATTGATGAAATGAGTTTATTGACACTATATATATATATATATATATATATATATATATATATATATATATATAACGATCAGTTTCACGTTAATTCGGATGTACAAAGAGAATATGCGTGGGATTTTGCGTACGCAGTGTTTTATACATCTGAATTTTTTACTGCGTACTCACATTTACAGCTTTGTCTGTACGCAATGTTTTAGTAATAATTCAACGCAAGTCTTCATACATAAGGCCCCTGGTCTTTGGTTTTTGATGATTTATTTCACTTGACAACTGACAAATTAAATACTTGTAGGTAGAAATGTCAAGTTTTACGTATTGTTAAGTCACTACTAGAGAATAAACAGATTTATTAATATAGTCTCGTAAGCACAATTTACTTGCATTGCTGGGTTATTGGTTTTGCGTGTAAACCACGACAACAGGTTATTTCAGAAACCTCATGTTTTTTTTTTTTTTTTTTTTTTGTGAGTTATCAGCATATTGGAGTGCTTGTAATCGTGTTCACTCTCTCTGTGAGAATTCACACACGCAGCAGGCTCATAGGACAGCGGACCAAATGTGTGAAAAAATATAATCCCCATCATCCTGTTAGGTCCTGCCTGTGTGTGTGCAGGGTTGTGTTGTGCGTGTGTTTGTGTTAATATCACCTTATGAGTTCTGACAGGAAAAAACACACACTATCGTTCGCATCTTTCCTCACGCTCTCTCCACCCTGCTGACAAAAGAAGGTCTCTCTGACATTGAGTGCTCAAGAAGGATCACTTATGCTAGCTTTTGTGTGTTTATGTGAGTGTGTGTTCTTTTACAGGTTGGTTTAGTGCTGCTAATAGAGTCCTAATGTGCTAAAATGTTTTACAAATTAGCATTTCCAAGCCACAGGTTCCTTTGGGAGTTCTAATGTGGTTTAAAAATAGAAGTGCTAGATTTAAAAGCTCTGTGGTTAACATTCTTTTTGCTACAACATAGTGTTTTTCAACTGGTGGATTGTGAACCAAAGGTAGATTTCAAGATTGAAAGATTGTTGAGTGTGTCGTGGAGTGTTTTTGTGTGTTAAAAGACGTGTGACTTTTCTGTCAGACCCTGGTCAATTGAAGGGGTGGTTAACTTTCTATTTTTTTAAAGCTTGGCTGTGTCTTTTGTGTGCACTGTAATGTGCTTGAGCCTGGTTTTTAAAAGTTCTCATAGCTTTTCTCATATCCTAACATTATTCTACACTGCTGTTTCAGTACTCCTAAAAACTGTTTGACAGTTTTTTTTTTGTTGTTGTTTTTTTTTTTTGTAACATACAATAAACTAAGTAACTGTGACTAGTTGGGAGATTTTGTGTGCTGGCATCACATTCATTATTTTAAGCATAAGCAGTTTTTTATGTTCTGTTAACAATTCATGATGGCATTGTGCACCATGTTTCATAAACCAAAAATGTCACTTTATTTTCATGTGTGTTTATTTATAAATGATTTTTAGCTCATACTTCAAATTCAGTGTATTAACATCAACTAGTTTGACTGCTGTTTAAAATATTTTTGTTTCGTAATTTATTATACACAGAATCCCTGCCCAGGGGCGGACTGGCCATCTGGTGGACCGGGCACTTTCCCGGTGGGCCGACGTACTTTTTGGGCCGGGCTGATCATCGTCTTATGATCTAATCGGCCCATAAAAGGCTTAGCAGCCTATCGCTTTTTTCTGCCTTATTAATTGACGCTGCTGTGATCTGTGACTCTCTGAAAGTAGATGCTTTTTTTCCCGGACAGACAGACCGGGCCGGCCCATGTAACACTCTGCAGCCCATTGGTTCTTTTCTGTATTGACATTGGGCTGGCCCAATCACAAACTCCTATTTTGGGCTCTGTATGAGCGTGCGTCGTCTGTGTGTATTTGTCAAAATAGTCGAGAATCAGAGAGAAGAAACGCAAGGGAGGCGCAGAGAAATCGCGGGAAATACACCGGCGTTTCATTTTGCAGTTCTGAGAAGTTCTCCGTTCATTCTAGTACACAGCTAAAAATGTAAATCACGTGACCACACACTCTCTGCCAAGAGCTGGCGGGTGAGCATAAACTCCAGGTGAGAGTATAGTGCATGTCAGACAGTTCATCTGCTGGATGATCTCATCTCACTATAGTTGTTAAACGTGATATTGAATTCATCTTGTTGTTTTGGCTGAGTGCAAAGATAAACTAATATATTCATTTATGTAACCACACTGATTCTGCACATTGACTGATTGCTTACATTTATCGTATAAATTTATTGTACGTTATACTGTTATAATGGCCATTATTGATTATTAAAACTGATATTCTGCAAAAGAGACGGGGTAAAGTTTGTTCTTTTCAAAGAAAATGAAAGGAGGCATTTATATTTAAGCCCTGTTTTGTTATAAATATGCAGAGTGAAGATGACGCTCATGTAAATATACAGCTACACGAGGCTGTTGGGTGTCTGTTAATCATAATATCAAAATGAAACAAATTTGACTTATATTATGTTTTGATTGTTTAGATAGTGAAACAAGCAGGATGAGGTGAATGAGGTTATAAAGTACACTGCTCCCTTTGAAGATTTACCCATGCATCAGCAGGCAGTTTTTGTTATGTTTATTATTGAATATAGGCTGAGTGAATAGTGTATTGAATAAGCTAAATTGGCTGTAGTGTATGAGTGTGTGTGATTGAGTGTGTATGGGTGATTTCCAATATTGGGTTGTGGCTGGAAAGGCATCTGCTGCATAAAACATGCTGGAATAGTTGGCAGTGAATAGTGTATTTTTTTAGAACTCAACAAATATCTTTATGGACAGTATACAGAAATTAAATTGAGATTAAAGTTTGTATTTATTTATTTCATATATGGCTTTTGTGTTTTATAAAATATGAGTTGATAAAAATATTGGACGTGCATAGATAGATAGCATTTTGATTGAATGTAGTGGGCCGCTCTGGCCCAAAATGCCAGTGCCAATTTTTTGCCCCAGTCCAGCCCTGCCCTAGCCAGTTAAAGTCCAGGGGTCTCATGTACGAAGACTTGCTTTAAAATCATTCTAAAAATTTAAAATGCACAAAGCTGTAAATGTGCGTACGCAGTAAAAAATTCAGATGTATAAAACACTGAGTACGCCGAATCACACGAATATTCTCTTTGTACATCCAAATGAACATGAAACTGAGCGCAACGTGCATAAATGCAAAACCCCTCCCTGCCTCCTCCCCCGGATGAATATGCTATTGACTCTAACAATGACAGAAACAATGACAAAAGCAAGTAAAAAGAGAAACTTTGAACAGAATTGTGAATTGGAGGTGCACCTATCAATGGTAGACTGGAGAAAAGCGGTGTTATTTGCAAGTTTGTCCCCCAGGATTAATAAGAAAAAAATAAAATAAAATGGGACAGTTTAGCTGACACGGTAACGCAGTGGGGTCTCGTTGGACACCTCGTTCGAATGAGCTAATAGAGTGATAGTTAAGCAGACTTCAGCAGATCGAGTGGCGTAGCTTATAAAGCAGACGGCATCATGTTTTGACACTATCATTCCTGAACCCGGTTTGAATCCAGCATCTGATGAACTTATTTTTTCTTTGTTCCCCATTACATATCAGATTTCTACTCTTCATCACGAGGAAGACAAGTAGGAATCATTAATAAGTGTGTGTATAATGTTAAGCGCATTTGAGCATCACATATTATTTGCACATTTATTTAATGAAAATGTTTCTGATTCACGTATGCATATTTGTCTTCAGATGGCGCCTTTATAGTAATGTGCGTGCAGTCGATCACTCCGATTACATTGGGAAAACCAGCGATCTCTGCAAATTGCACTTTAATGTTTGGCTCTTCAACTGTATGGTATGGAAACCTTATATATCTGTTTTCGAAATGTAGATGTTTTCGTCTCATACAACTGCCATTGCACGGCTCAAAGATACTTTGTAGTGTGCAATTTAATATAATTGCCTCTAGAACTCCTTATTTCTAGCAAATGGAAATAAAACAAACACACACAAGAAATGCATGTATGGCAGGCATGAAGTTGTCGTGGACCAACGCACATTCTCACATTCATTTCATTTAGTAAATCCAAACGTGAGCGTAAAACCTGGCCTACGCAAAGTTTTTGTGCGTACGTGGCGTTGATACATGAGGCCCCAGGTGAACTGGAAGTTGCTGAAACTTTTTTCAATATATGGATTCAATCATGCCATATTGAACAGTAAGAGGGGTGTGGTCAAACTGATATCATCAGAAAAGAACTGCATCTCCATAGGCACGCACACACACACACACACACACACACTATATATATATATATATATATATATATATATATATATATATATATATATATATATATATATATATATATATATATATATATATATATATATGTATGTATATATATGTATATATATATGAGCAATATCACACGAGTAACAAAACGGTTCAACAGCATAATTGTGTATATAAAAAAGAAAATCAAACACAGATAGTCTCAAAATCCTTTTGTAAGAGGAACTTTCTTTACATTTGCAGCTGACGTCTGAACCACAGGAACTGTTGCTACTTCACAAACATTTCACCAATATTAAATCGAACCTTATATTCTAAGGTGATGATTTGTCAAACTGTAGTGTCTTCTGCTTGTTGCTGTATGTGGGCGGAGTAATACACAACGGTGAAGGGTGAAGAGGCTGGACGAGTGCTGTTTATGGCA